TGTGATGAACTCCCATAAGCAGGAAGGCAGAGTAGAAGCGGGAGTCAGCTGCCGAAGATCCTGAAGACCTTACTCTTTTCTCCAGGGACCAGTGACTATAGAGCAAAAAGGGTTTTGAGAAGCCAGACAGAGTTCTCCTTTCCCCTTGGGAAACGCTCAATCTGTGTCATCCATGCAGATTCTGCAGAACCTTTAGAAGGATAAAAAGCAATGCATTTCTTCACTGCAGGACAGGCCTAGAATGAGAATGTCCCAAGTTGGACACACTACAAACAGCAAAAAAAAAAAATATGAAGCCCTTCGGACTTCAGTGAAATCATCACTAGTAAACATGAATTAGAAGCAGACTCCAATTTGGGAGCCCTGCCATTGAGCAGTGTTTATTCAAGAAGCCATAAATTCTACTCTGGACTCATATGACACTCCTGAGAGACATTCATGAAAGTTAAGGCTTACCAACAGTGAGAAACACCTGTGCATCATTTCTTTAAAAAAATAAAAGGCGAGGTATAAGAAAATAATCTTCCAGGCTATATATCTTTTTTTTTTTTTTTTAACATGTATTCATTATTGAGAGACAGAGAGAGACAGAGCATGAGCAGGGGAGGGGCAGAGAGAGAGGGAGACACAGAATCCGAAGCAGGCTCCAGGCTCATAGTGGTCAGCACAGAGCCTGACATGGGGCTCGAACCTACGAACCGTGAGATCATGATGTGAGCCGAAGTTGGCCGCTTAACCGACTGAACCACTCAGGCACCCCCAGGCTACATATCTTAATTGAAAAACCATGTTGGCTAAAAACCAAAAGCTCAACTAAATTTCTGATAAATTTCCTTTCCTAAGGAGACTGTCAAATAAATAGGCAAAGATTTTTAACAACCTAGCTGAGCAATAAAATCACTAACATTTAACATAAGACCCTCTAAAATGAGTTACTTCTCTTCTACATTTAAGAAAGTGCTTCCACCTCTGAAAAAAAAACCAAGAAAATGTAATTAAATAGTCCATAATAAGAAGTGAGGAAAGGAGTGCATGTTTGTAAAACTAAAAGTTACTTAAGGTTTTATTCATCTCCCTCCTAATTAATTCTTTGTTTCAAGTGACGCAAGGCTTGGTAGAGAAAACGTGTACTGTGCTTTAAGTTTTATTTAGAGACAGCGACAGTGAGAGTGGGGGAGGGGTAGAGAGAGAGGCAAACAGAGAATCCCAAGCTGGCTCTGAACCACAAGAATTCCAGAGCCACATGCGGGCCTGGAAACCATGAAACTGTGAAATCATGACCTGAGCTGAAGTCAGATGCTTAATTGACTGAGCCACCCAGGTGAACCCCATGCTTCTTTAAGTTATTATTTAATACTATGAACACTCATCATTTTATCATTTTGTGATCTGAGGATGGTACTTTGTTACAGTTTCTCATTTGGAATCAGGATTAGCCCACAGAAAAAAATTATCTGAAAAACAATGAAGGGATGAAAATGACCTAAACAAATAGAAGAAATAATGAGTCCACTTTTGGTTTTTGACACTGCCCCAATAATATTTCTGTATTGTATTTCTGTAGTGCCATTTCATTTGTAAAGCACTTCTTTTTGCTCATGTTGGCTTATGATGTAGAAACAGCATGTGTTGTCCACATTTAACATTTGGGGAAGTGCAAAACCAGGGAGGTTATATGGCTTCCCCTAAGACTGGGTGTGGAGAACCACAGAGTGTGGATGAAATCCACTTGTGGCCTGTTTTTGTATGGCCCATGGGTTAAGAATAGCATTTACATTTTGCAAATAGAGCTTCCAATGAGTCTACTCATTTGTTGACACCTCTCCTATGGGTGATTTTGCACAACAGCAGAGCAGGAAAGAGACTATATAGCCCTGAAAGCCAAAAATATTTACTTTCTGGCCCTTTACAGAAAGACTGCTGACTTCTGCCCCAGACCCACAGGGGAGCCATGAATAGAGCCCAGATTTTTGGGAACGAACCACCAGTGTTGTTTCTACTCAATCTTATGCCTCTTTGTAAAGCCTGTGATTCATCCCAGGCATTTGTTTGAGGGATAAGAGGAAGTTTATGAAGCATAAATGTAGGTACTTGAAATAGAAAGAAGGCATTGAGAAGGGAGCCAGATGCAGCAAATGAAAAGGAGATAGGAGAGGAATTTGGCCCCAGCATAGACCACATCCAGAGCCTCACCTCATTTAGAGGATTTAAATGATGAGATTTGAAACCTTTTCAGTTGAGGTTGCGATTAGATTCAAGATTTTAAGTTCATGCTGGAATGGGTTCACTTTGGAGGGTATTGGAACAGGACGAATATATTTTGCATATGGGACTAACATGAATGGGGGGTGGGGCGCAGAGGGCAGACTGTACTGGGTTGAATAATATCCCCTTGAAATTCAGGCAAATCCCAAACTTCTCAGAAAGCAACTTTATTCGGAAATCTTTGTAGGTGTCATCAAGTTCTGATCCTACTTGGGATGAGGGTGGGCCCTAATCCAATGACTGGTGTTCTTAGAAGAAAAGGGAAATTTGGACACAAAAAGGAGAACGCCATGAGAACAGATTCACACAGGGGAGAACCCTGTGTGAGGACAGGCAGGGACTGCAACGCCATGTTTACAAGCCCAAAGGGTTCCGAGGATATCCAGCACCGCCCAAAGCTAGGAGAGAAGCCTGAAACAAATGTTTCCTCAGAGCCTCCAGGTGGAACCAATCAATGACGACTTCAGACTTGTAGCCTCCAGAACCAGGAGAGAATGTATTTCTGTTTTAAGCCATCCTGTTTGAGGTACTTTGTTACAGCAGCCCTGGGAACCTAATGCAGATTAGTGGTCAAGTGGACACGGCCTTATGAAGAAGAATTAAGACCGAGAGAGAAAGAGGAAGTGGTCGAATGCCAAACCCCATAAAAATGTTTTTGCTTAAAACATAAACCCTTAGTACTTCTGGAAGACCTTGAGGGAAAACGACACAAAACCAAAACCCAGAGACGCTGATTTTCAACCTGATTGGGTTTTAAAAACACATGTCGCCAAGGTAAATAGAATGAACTTACACTTGAGTTTTTCCTTCCCAGTAGACCTGTTTACAAGTCCATCCCTTAAATTCCAGGCTTCCCCCCATCACCCCACTATGAACGAGAAACAAAATGCATTTTCCAACAAAGGCAAAGGGATTAACTAAAATCTTCACAAGGATGTTCCTGACTTACTTCTTTTTTGAAATAATCCTAAATTTCCACAGGTGGCCTCATTTTCCAAATCCCTGGTACAGTGGATCCTTGAATGGCATCAGAGTTGGGACATCTACCCCTAAACAGTCAAAAACGTGCCTATAACTTTTGACTTCCCCAAAACTTAACTACTAACAGACTGCTATTGACCAGAAGCCTTACTGATAACATAAGCAGTTGATGAACACATATTTTGTAGGTTAGATGTGTTATACTCTGTATTCTTACAGGAAAGAAGCTAGAGGAAATGTGAGGAAAATCATAGGAGAAAATACATTTATAGTACTGTACTGTATTTATTGAAAATATCTCCATGTATACGGACTTGCGCTGTTTAAACCTGCGTTGTTCAAGAGTCAACTGGATAAGCGATTAAAAAATAATTCTACACTTTCAATCAGATACAAAACCAGTGTATCATGGAATCATCACAGTCACCTCTAGAAGCTTCCAATGGCTCAGTGTGTAACCTCTTACACTGCTTGGCACCAGATACACTAAAGGCTAATTCTCCACCCCACCCCCACATACACACATTTTTCAGCACAACGTTCTTGAAGGTTGAAGCAAGATCCATTCCTTCATTTCTTCAAAAGTGCAAGGAAATGGTGGTAAAGACATGAGGTTGCAGACATCATGTAAAGTCAAGTCAAAACTTGGGTGCATGCTATGTTCCTATGTAACTTGGTCACTGAGTGATAAAAATTTAGATTCATTGTTCTGAAACTCTTCGTATATCATGTATAAAATATACATGAATGTAGGTGCTACAAGTTTGTGATAAAGTTGTTGTTGGGGTCCATCCTAAAGCCTATGCAATGCTGGCATTGTAGCAGCTAAATTCTTTTTAGTAGACCCACAAAAGACTCATCTTAGAATATTCCTTTATCATGTCATGTTGTATCTTGGTATTAATTTATTTCATTTCATTTCATTTAAGTAGGCTTCATACCCAGTATGGAGCCCAACCTGGGCCTGGAAATCATGACCTTAGATCAAGACCTGAACTGAGATCAAGAGTTGGACACTTAACTGCCTGAGCCACCTTGGTGTCTCCCTCAGTATCAACTATTTTAAATAAACTATTTCCTCTCTATTTTCTTAATGAACTCAGATATAGTATTTAGCAATAGATTTGCATTCCAGTATACCATATACAATTTTATTTGCCTTATCCTTCCACATTCCTGGTTATCTTATTTTCCTATGACTTTAAACATAATTATATCTTAAATAACCAGTGGTGATAGCAAAAGTAAAGCCAGCTTGAAACTAGTACTTTATGAGAGCCCATTGCTAGTTGGGACATAAGTATCACTCTCCTCAACCATTACCTAGCTCCTAAAATAAAGAAAGAAAACCCACCAATTGCTCTCAGTGGTCTGCAGGTCATTTATGACCCTACTTCCCATGACTGGGAATTCTGGGAAAGTTGGCCATTACAAGCCCACGATCTCCACTGTGCCAATGAAGAAATTAATGGGTTACCTTTTCTCAGCACCTGAAAAAAGCAATGTTAATGCCCACATTTCTGAATCCCAGCGCACTGGGGAGCACCACAGTACCCCCATGAGAGAACTCCTGCAGAAGACAAGACTACAGAGCTAACTAAGTTCGTCACACTCCTCTGGAGTTTGGGCCCCAGATCTTCTTTGGTCTCTGAAACCAAAGCACTCTGTAAATCTTTTTGTCAAAAGATGTACATGCTCTCTAGAGAAGGAACGCATGCCTCCACAAATAGGGCCAACACCCCTGTGGCACTTACCTTATTCTGCTCACACACGTACTGTATCCTCAGGGTGTCCATGGCTCTGATCATGGATTGCATGGCGGTGAATATGTTTTGGTAAACTAACTTCGTGAACCCCTTCCTGTCTTCATCGCTGTAGCCAGACCCATGGATGATTCTCATTTGCTTGATAAAGGTGCTTTTGCCACTTTCACCAGTTCCTGGTAAGACAACACAAGGGGAAAATGCAGTCAGCAGTCTTTAAAAGGAACATGCTAGGAAAGAGGGGACCTCCTGGCTGTGTTGGTCTGTATCGTGATGAACGGGGTTGATTGGGTCAACTTGGAAGGGGCCTGCCAGTATCTTGCCAGTAATATGGTGTCAGTATCCTGACCCTAGGCAGAGGAGTCCATATTCTGTACCCTGTGCTCCCACTCCTTCTCTCCCTCCCTCTCACACGTGCGAGCGCGCGTGCACATGCGCGCACGCACACACACACTTAAGGGTACGTGAGTGTCTCTGTTCCTTAGAGTAATTCTAACCATCAGCTCTTATAACCAGCACTGTTTAGGCCCCAGGAAACTGCTCCCCTACATCCCTTTTCCTAAGTTCCTTCTGATAACTGGCAACTGTGTCTGAAAGCCCCAAACGTTTAAGGGTTTCACTACCGCTAATACAGCAGCAGTGGTGATGGAGGCTGCATCAGTGCGCGGGGAGGACCTCAGCAACAGGATCAAAGTCTTATTCACTCGTCAGTTCCTGCCTTTCAGATACGTGAGCACAAGTGATCCTTGCACAATCCAGCACCATCCCCGGTTGTGCCAAGTGACTGTATTCTGGCTCCTCCTCCTATTCCAACTTGTAGTTCAGGGGCTCCTCCAAACTCATAACACCTGCATGTGGCAGCAGAGGATCAGTTTACAGGATCAAACCATTCCTGCTGCTCTGAGACGTCCAGGCATAACATGTGGGACATAAGATGCCAGGACTCCACATTTTAAAAAAATTTTAAGTTTATTTATTTCAGAGAGAGAAAGTGTAAGTGTGAGGGGCAGAGAGAGAGAATCCCAAGTAGGCTCTATGCTGTGAATGGAGAGCCTGATGTGAGGCTTGAACTCACAAATTTTGAGATCATGACCAGAGCTGAAGTAGGACGATTAACCAACTCAGCCACCCAGGTACCTCAACCAGGACTCCACATTAACATTAGATTGAGATAATGCTTCACAAGACAATGACAGTTACAGTGTAAGTGATAAAGATGGATATGATGCAATGAAAATATTTTCTAACATTTTCTGTGATAATTTATTGTACCTGAAACTAATATAATGTTACGGGTCAATTATAGCTTAAAAAAAGATAATTTATTGTAGGAGTTCCCATTACCATGTTTGGAACAAGTCATGTTATATTATACCCATGATTCATTTTCAAATCTCAGTATTGTTTTAAGAATTTTGTAACAATTCATGTCAATATGCCCCCAGCAGGGCAAAGTTTCTTCAAATTGAAGATTTATGAGAAGCTATCTCAGAACTAAAATGATTCAAGCCAAGTTGTAACTTCAAATGGGTGAGTTGTGCCGTACTCAAATTATATTTTAACAAAGCTGTTGCAAAAAAAAGAAGTTGTCTGACTCAGTATTTCTGTCAAAAGAGCGCAAATTATATGAAAACCTTAATTAAAATATACGGATTTTTCCATAATGGCAGCAAAAAAAATTGTGGCGTCGTAAATGATTAATTATATCTTTACTACTCATCCATATCTCATTGGCCCAACAGACTACCAGACAATGCAATTACAGACAAATTCATCCTCTGGAACTTTGCTAACACTTAGTCACATAAAAACCATAGTTGTACACATCTTTTTTGACATTTTAAAGACATGTTTGCCACGGTCAGAGGATAGAACATAGTGATAATAGTTTGTTAGCTTAATTATAACCTGCAACTGTTTGGACTTATGGGATGTGGGTCTCTGTGATGTCTCTGCAAACATCAGGGCAGGGCCTAGCACAAGGGCCCTGAGAAACAGAGTCGCTCAAGTTTTCCACATGGATAGTTGAGATACAACTGTGAACATTTGTTAAGATTTTTCCTTCTAAGAAAACATGTTCCTTCAGACCTTTTCAAACCCAAACCTACTCTTCTACCTCCCCACCCTCACTCAACACTCTCAGTGGCATCCCACTCTGCTCAGGAAGAAAGACAAACTTCCTCACTCTGGCCCATAAGGCTGTGCAGTCTGGCCCCTTGGGTCTTCACCACCCTCTTCGTACAACACACATTCTCTCACCCTCTGCTCTCTGACACATTGGTCTTCTTGCTGCCTTTGCTCATGCTCTGCACATTCGTCCTGCTCACCTTGGCTCTTGGCCTGGCCTCCCTAATGAGGTCAAGTTCCCCGACTGTAAGTTCTCCAGGTACCAATCATAGCATGTGCTCCAGCCACACTTGTGCTCATTAATGCCATTCTCCATTTGACATGTTTTCCCCTACCAGTCCGCACGTTCCATAAGGGAAGACAGGGGCCACCTTCCTTTTAACTCACATCATCTCCCCTTGTGCCAGGTGTTACTGTAGAGGCCACTTATGGGCGACAGGCTTGAGCAACGGAATGTTGAACAAGGGAAGAGAGCCCACAGTGACCACTAGGCTGAATGGAGACAGACCCACCAGGTGCCCCACCTCAAAATATTCACAAGCCCTAATTGACCAATGGGCTACTTACAACCAGGCTTAGTTACCATAATAGGGAAAATTCATACATCCCCATACCTCCTCATCTTCTCCCCTTAGAAACAGCCCCCTCCCACTGCCTCATTGCAGATGGCCTCTCCTCTGCGGTCCTGCCCACCGCTCCCCTGCAATGTATTCAATAAACTGCTATCTCCTTTGTTCTGCCTTGGCTGAATCCTTTCGCCGCCCACACCACCGGCTCCCACCTGATCGTCACCCTACATTTGGGAGTCCCCATTCAATATAGAGAGAGAAATCCCAATAATGCCTGACACTTGGCACATACTTAATAGGCTTTTAAACTACTTTTTAAAATTGTGGTAAAATACACATACAGTTCACCATCTTCATTTTTTTAATATATCAACTTTATTTATTTTGAGAGAAAGAGAGAGAGTGGAGGAGGGGCAGAGAGAGAGAGAATCCCAAGCACACTCCATGCTGCTAATGCAGCACTCTGACATGGGGCCCAAATTCACAAACCGTGACATCATGACCTGAGCCAAAGTCAAGAGTCAGATGCTTAACCAATTGAGCCATCCAGGCATCCCAGGATTTCCTTCCTTTTATTAATTTTTAAAAATGTGTTTATTTGTGAGAGAGACGGAGAGACAGAGTGCAAGCAGGGGTGGAGCAGAGAGAGAGGGAGACAGAATCCAAAGCAGGCTCCAGGCTCTGAGCTGTCAGTGCAGAGCCCGACATGGATCTCGAGCTCACAAACCATGACAGAATGACCTGAGCCAAAGTCGGTCCCTTAACCGACTGAGCCACCCAGGGGCCCCAGGATTTCCTTCCTTTTAAAGGCCTGAATAGGGCGCCTGGGTGGCGCAGTCGGTTAAGCGTCCGACTTCAGCCAGGTCACGATCTCGTGGTCCGTGAGTTCGAGCCCCGCGTCGGGCTCTGGGCTGATGGCTCGGAGCCTGGAGCCTGTTTCCGATTCTCTGTCTCCCTCTCTCTCTGCCCCTCCCCTGTTCATGCTCTGTCTCTCTCTGTCCCAAAAATAAATAAACGTTGAAAAAAAAAAATTAAAAAAAAAAAATAAAAAAAAAAATAAAGGCCTGAATAATACAGCAGTATTTGAGTACATGATAGTACTTAAGAGTATACCTAGTCTCGACTACCTGTAGTAACTAGACAAACGACCCCCTATCTCTCACACAACCACCCTACAAGGTGTGTGTAATCACAGGGCTTTATTCAGTCAGACTAATGACAGACTGTATGGTCAGGGAACAAAGTCAGGGTCATGACCAAAAGGACTTCGTTAGACTGGTCTAATGAAGACAAATCGGAAGCTCACAGCCACACCGAACTCTGAGCCCCAGCAGGACCACCATCTTGTAGACATACGGCTGGAGCACGAAGAACCTTCAGACAGGTGCAGGTTCTCACAGGTAGCCTCACTGCTACCTCACTTCCACTTCCAGAGGCAGAAAGGTGGGTCAGAGATGAGGAAACTGGCTGCAAGTCAGGAAACAAGGCAAGGTGGGTGCCAGTACGGAGCTGGGCCCAGAAGCCAGGCGACAAATGCCTCAGCCTTCAGGTTCACCAAGGATACCACCTTCCCTGAACGAATTGTTTTCCCCTCCATCCCCTCAACAGTCAGGCCTGTCCCCTTAGAGCAATCTAAGCACCTGGAACACCCCAGTGGAGCACATCCCCTAATTACAGACCTCTCGCTACTTAGTCCCCTAAGGGTAAAGCTTGAGGGTCACTCATTTGGGTGCCAGGCACACTGATTACTACATAGTTGGCTGTCAAAGGATGGCTAAATAAAGGTATGAAGAGAACAAACGTGAGAAGCCACAGTTTTATTCCATAGGTTCTAATACCATGATCACATAAAAATAAGATATGAATTTTCCAGAGGATTGCAGTGACACCAGCGGCCCCTGAAGCCACAATTTCATGATTACTCCTGGCTGCCCAGAACCCATACGATAACATGAGAACCTGTTGAAGACTCTCTATTGTCTGAATTTCATCCAAAGTTCCAGATGACACAAGATCTCTGCTCTTACAGAATTCTGGGGTCCCTGAATCTTCTTTTCACTAGGACGCTGCCATGCATTCTTCTGTTCCACCCCCACAGGGTTGACCTCTGGTCCAGTGCTACCTTACCCCAAGCAAATACTAATCCTTCTGCATATTATACACCACAAAGCTGATGTGAAAGGAGAGATTACGTAACTATCTCAAGGCAGAAACTGTGATTTTGGCCCTGAGACCAGAAAAATCACTCGAGACTCAGCCCAAACTTCTACCAAGGTAAAGATCTTTTTTAGTTTTACAGGCCATTCACTTACAAGAGGTTAAAGCCAACCTCACCACTAGTCCCAAAGATAGGAACATTTTCTTTTTTTTTTTTTTTTTTTTTTTTTTACAAGTCATTGCTTTTTGCTTTGGGACATGGAGCATTTCAAGAAGAAAATGTTAAAAATGATTTTTAAAGGTTAATTGAAAAAGAAGATATA